TAGAAGACACAAAAAAAAAAAAAAAATGGACAGATTCCTAGAAAGGTATAAATTACCAAACCTGAAGCAAGAAGATATAGCAACTCTCAATAACTCAATAACAGCCAATGAAATATGAAATGTAATAGAAAGCCTTCCCACAAAGAAAAGTTCAGGCCCCAATGGATTCACAGCTGTATTATACAAGAAATTTATGGAAGATATAATCCAAATACTCCTCAAATTTTTCAATTAAACTGAAAAGGAAGCAATTCTACCAAAATCATTCCTGGAGGAAAGTATTATACTGATACCAAAACCAGAGAAAGATGCAACTAAAATGAGAACTACTGGCCAATCTCCCTCATGAACATAGATGCAAAAATCCTCAATGAAATCCTAGCAAATAGAATACAGTAAATGATCAAGAAGATCATAAACCATGACCAGGTAGGTTCATCCCAGGGATTCAATCATGGTTCAATATATGCAAATCTATAAATGTAATACACTGTATCAATAGAGTGAAATCTAAAAACCACATGATCATCTTAATTGATGCAGAAAAGGCTTTTGACAAAGTCCAACACTCATTCATGTTCAAAGTCCTACAGAAAATTATAATAGATGGCCTTTATTTCAATCTGATAAAAACCATCTATGACAACCAAACAGCAAGCATAATTCTAAATGAGGAAAAACTGAAAGGCTTTACTCTCATATCTGGTACAAGACAAAAATGTCCTCTATCACCACTCCTATTCAATACAGTTCTGGAATTATTAGCTAGAGCCATTAGACAAGAGATAAATAAAAGGAATAAAAATAGGTAAAGAAGAAGTTAAATTATCATTATTTGCAGATGACATGATACTTTACTTGGAAGACCCAAAAAACTCCACCGAGAAGCTACTAGAGTTAATACAGAAATTCAGTAGCATAGCAGGATACAAAGTCAATACCCAAAAGTCAATAGCATTCCTCTACACAGATAACAAACACACTGACAGGGAAATTATAGAAACAATACCTTTTACAATAGCACCAAAGAAAATGAAATATGCTGGAATTAATCTAACTAAAGAAGTCAAAGATCTTTTCAAGGAAAATTACAATACTCGGGAAAAAGAGATTGTAGAAGATTTTAAAAAATAGAAAAATACTCCCTGCTCCTGGATAGGAAGAACCAACATCGTGAAGATCACCATACTCCCAAAATTGTTGTACAGATTTAATGCAGTCCCTATCAACTACCACCAACATACCTCAAAGACCTAGAGAAATCATTCCTAAAATTTATTTGGAACCAGAAAATACCTATAATAGCAAAGGCAAATCTGGGCAAGAAAGACAAGCAGAAGGAATTACAATTCCTGACTTGAAATTATACTACAAGGCTACTGTTATAAAATCAGCATGATACTGGAAACTAAACAGACCTGAGGATCAATGGAATAGACTAGAAGGTGCAGAAGCCTCTACAAACACTCTCAGTCACCTTATCTTTGACAAATGGGCTAAACATGCTCATTGGAAGAAACATAGCCTCTTTAACAAATGGTGCTGGAAAAACTGACTCTCTACATGCCAAAAACTAAAACTTGACCCAGGTCTATCATCATGCTTGAAGCTAAAGTCAAAATTCACTAAAGATCTAAACATGAAAACAGAAACACTAAATCTGGAAGAGAAAGTAGGAGGAACTCTTGAAGACATAGGGGTAGGCAAAAAGTTCACGAACAAAAGTCAAATCTCATGGGTAACACTTGAAAGAATTAACAACTGCATGTCAAAAGAAGTTGCCAACAAAGTGAAAAGCCAACCTACAAATTTGGAAAAAATTTTAACTAATGAACACTCAGACAAAAGTCTGCTCTCTAGAACTTATAAAGAACTAAAAAACATTAGGGCCCCCAAAATAAAGACCCAATCCAGAAATGGGCATCTGAGATGAACACACATTTCTCAGAGGATGAAATTAAAGAAATGAATAAATATATGAAAAAATGCTCCACATCACTAACCATCCATGAAATGCATATTAAAACAACACTGAGATATCATCTCACTCCAGAAAGAATGGCTATCATAAAGAAATCAACCAACAACAAATGTTGGAGAGGCTGTGGGGAAATAAGAACCCTTCTCCACTGCTGGTGGGAATGTAGCCTGGTGCAACCATTATGGAAATCAGTGTAGAGACTCCTTAAAATCCTAGGACTGGAAATCCCAGTCAAACCAGCTATCCCCCTGCTGGGAATTTTCCTGGAGGATGTGAAAACATCATATCATAGTGATATTTGTGTACCTATGTTTATAGAAGCACAATTTTTGATACCCAAATCTTGGAAACCACCAAGATATCCATCACCTGAGGAACAGATGAAAAAGATGTGATATTTTTATACAATGGAGTATTACTCAGTTATAAAGAATGATAAACTCAAAGCCTTCATATTTAAGTGGATGCCACTTGAAAATTTACCCATAAGTGAAATAAACCAGAACCACATGTGTAAATATTATATAGTCTCCTTAGTATAAGAATTCAAAAGAAGACATACGAATAGAAAGGTATGACACAATTGAAAGGAAAGCAAGAACTTGCAGGTTAGATAGTGAAGAGAGAGCAAGGAGAAAAGGTAGAAAACATGACAGGGGCAAAGCCATACATGTATATGTACAGGATGGGTAAGGCAATGATCCTGAGAATCCTCAGGCATCTTTCAAAGCTAGCAGTTGATTGGTAGGATTCTCACCCTGACTAACTATATATGTCGATACCTATGAACTAAGCAACTGCACTGATGATGGCAATGTGTAATAGTAGGGTCATGCTTGGAGTGCCTGTCATTCTGGTCTTGTGAATAAGTGCTACTTGTCATGACATATTGGTTGCTGCTGTGCTGTCTCTCAGGTAGATGTTTGTTTACAAAAGAAGGGGGTGGTGAATGAAAGCAGGAGACAAGAAAACAGGTGTTGTGGGACTGTTCGGCTACAATGCTATATATGGTTATATTTGTAAACTTCTATGTAAAAATATGTAATCATTTATTCCTATTTTTAAATATATTTAAATTAAATTTTTTCTTCATATTCTGTAGGGATTTAAAGTTTAACATATCAATACTTGATGAAAAATACCTGCTGCATGTTATGCCTAAGATGTCTGATACTCAGACAGATAGTGAGGTTAAGCTCAACAGCCTAGGCTGTAGAGTAATAACAACAAGCTGCTCTTCTAGAGGGTTAACAACCTAAGTTTGCAGACCAAAAATTAGAGAAAAAGGAGGGCTTAAAGGGCAGCTAACATTTTGGCCCTAGCCTTTCAAGGTCAGTGAAGACTAAGGACATAGGAGAACCTGTACTATAACATCATATAATTCAGTTGTGTCCCAAATATTCTGATCAAGGAGATTATGGGGTCACAGAGGAAAGTGATCAATGATGTAGAGTGTGCCTAAGGAGACTCACATGGAGAGAAAACATTCTCTCAGGCTTCCACAGAGAGAAAATTGGTCAAGCAATGCCTGTGACTCATCCCTATGGCTGACACTGACAAAGTGTCAGCTGTACAGGGTAACAGGATAAATCCTGAGGGGACTTGACTAACCTTATCAGATACAAAAGTCACATTTCTTGTTATACAGGTCTTACTTCATCTTGGTCTTAACCATCTATCAAAAAAGTAGAAAGGCAAAGTATAAAAAGTAAAGCCATAATAATATGCTGAGCTGCAAAAGGCTCAAGTCAACAACTTCTGACATCACCAGTCTTACAGAAATCCCACTACTATTATGGACTACTGGACTACTTTTGAATGTTTTGCTGAATTCGCACACCTACAATATTTAAATGACAAAACTAAACCAAAAAATGGGGGGATAGAAATGTACGACCATTTTGTATCTGTATATTCTATATAGTTATGATAGATATACAGCTACATTCTTTTAATTCAATGAACAGAAAGATTTGTTCAAATAGTTTTTGTAAACAGGATATCATGTTTGCTTCTTGTACAATGAATAATCAATAAGACAACAATATGCAATGTATTAATTATTGAAACTGTCCTACTAATTGGATTTGAAATTGTCTCATGGCTATTTGTTTCTCAAAAAAATTATGGAAAAATTTCACATGAATCTGTGTATAACTGGAATATTTTTGCTTACAAAATGTCAGCAAAATCTCTTTTTATTTTTACAGGCTTCTTTTAAGATGGGCATGTTAGCACAAATACATAATCCCAGCATTTGGGAGTTTGAGGCAAGTGCATCTCTGTGTACAACGCCAATCTGGACTACATGGTGAGTTGAATTCCAGCTTAAACTGTCTAGTGAGGCCTTCTCTTAAAAAAGAAAAACAAACAAACAATACTTCTTTTAAGGTAGAGAAGAATATTTTTTTTTTTTACCATTAAAACTGAAAACATTTTTTTTTCATTTAAAAAAGTATTTAGGACACATAAAACAAGGCAACATTTATTCCTTCTTCTCATCTTCCGGGATGGGGTCTGACGGCGGCTCCTCCACAGTGGCACTGTTGCTCTCTGAGCCGGTGTTGCTGTCGCTGGTCCCCTCTTCCGCCAGGCTGTCGCCGCCCTCCTGTCCGCTCTCCTTGTCCTCGGGTGTGGACGTGCCCTCCTCGCCGTTCTGCTGGCTCTCTGCTGCCTCTTCCAGGTGTGACTCCTCTGTCTCCATCGGGAGGCTCTCCTCGTCCTTCTTCTCCTCGGCTTTGCCGGGCGCTTGCTCCTCCTCGGGGCCCAGGCCACCCTGGCCACGCTCCGCCTGCTCTGCCACCTCCTTCTCGCGCTCCTCCTGCCGCTTGCGGGCCTGCTCCTCGGCCTGCGCAATCTCTGCCGCGATCTTCTCCATGTCCACCTCCACCTTCAGCCCACACAGCCTTTTGAGTTCGTTGTTGAATGAATCTGTGCTTTCAAGGAATTTCCTCTTCTTCTCCTGGTGCCGTTCCTCTATCTGAAGGAGTTCGGCTTCCAGTTTTCGCTGGTGAACCATGAGGGACTGGACCTGGCGCTTGAGGACTTGCATTCTAGCAGTGGTGACGACGGACCGGACGTCGGGCACCACGCTCTCGCTGAGGATTTCACTGATGAGGCGATGGTTTCTCTGGAAACGGGCGGTGGCCGTGTGCTTCATGGAAAAGACATCATCGTAATCATCGGGGTCTTCCGCAGGCTGGATGCTCATGTAGGGCTCTCCTTTCTCCATGCGCGACTGTCTCTGCAGGCTCTCCTCCTCTAGCGCAGCCTCTGCACGGCTCTTCGCATTGATGTAAGCCAGGTACGCGGGGGAGTTGTGATAGGCCTTCATGGACTCATTGTACTCGATCTTTTCTGCCTCGTATTCGTTTAAATATTCTTGCTTCTCTTCATCAGTGAGATCTCGCCACATGCCACCAATGATCTTGCCAATCTCCCACAGCTTCAGGTCGGGGTTGGAAGCCTTTACTTGGTCCCAGACCTTTCTGCTGTACCTCATGTAGGGCATCAGCGGCTTATCTGGTGGCTTTGGGGGTTTTGGAATCGTAATGCCAGAGGATGCCGTGACCCGGCTGTTGGTGCCGGGGTTCCCTCCCAGCCTGTAGTTGTTGTAGGCGAGATGACTGTATGGATTGTATCCCACAAACCCTGGTGTGCTGGGCATTTGTGTTGCAGGAGCTGGGGTGGGAGGTGGGGCATAAGATGGTCTTTTTGACATTTTGGAAGGTTAAGTTCTCAGTTCCTTAAGAATGAATCTGAGACACCGCGGGCCGCCGGCCGAGAAGAATAATTTTTAGCAGCATTTGAAAAGAATTTTCCTGAGAAAGACTCCTGTTCTACTAAATCTTCTTGAATTGTTATTATATTTTTATCTTACACTAGTTGAACAATGAGGAGAAATAAATATTGGAGAAGTGTATCTTCCAGAGGCAGAGGAATTTATGGCCTACCTAGTTGGAACAGAAGTATAAGAAAATTTCTTCAGCAAGTAGAAAGTTCTAACTTTGTACAAATCCAGAAGAAAGTATAAATTGCAGCAGATGAGTTTGAAACTATGGGAAATGGAATGAAGTGACTCTGAGCATGGCAATGAGGAGAGAGAACTGGCAGAGCAGGAAAAGTAGGCCCTTTTGCCAAGCCCCTCCATAGACCATGAGAAATTCAAATGGATTCTTTGAGAAGGCCTGTGTCTAAAATGGAGGATTGCACACACATCTTTACTGTTTTTCAAGGGCCAATTAACAAGCTAGTAAAAGGAAAAGAGAGATGGCAATCTTACCAAATTAGTAGAGAGTAGGAAGAAAGAAAAGGGGACACACTCTTACAAGAAAGTGAATGTCAATTTGCAGAAAGGGGAACCTGGATACCAACTGAAGACAAAGAGAACTCCAACAAGATCTTGGCCATCTATGATACAGAATTCCACAATGCTGCAAGAATTAGGGACACCATTCAACATTGATATTCCATTTGAGATAGGAGGTCAAAAAAGGGTTCTCTGTTTGCCTAGGTAGAAAAAACATTAGATTACCCTCATACAAACAGCTACCAAAACCAGGGAATGACTGAAGTCTCGCTGATATCCAGGACCCATGCCCAGAAATTCTAATTTATAGTAACGTAGATGACACCTAGATATCTAAATTTTGTAAATGCACCTTGATGTAGTGATGTCCAAAAATATTGTTTTTTTAAATGAAGTGTGGGTTCTTTATTTTCTTATTATATGCCTATCAAGCAATATCCATTTCTTATCTTTCATTTTGAAGGATTTTTTTTCTTTTTTTTTTTTTTTTGGATGGCTCAGGATGCCTAAGGGCAGGTCTGGTAAGGCATGAGGATCTGGGGATCGAACCACAGTATCCTGAGGCTGACTGCCCTCACTTAAGCAAGCACTTAAACAACTGAGCTAATGGGCAGGCCCCCATACTTTTGTGTGTGTGTGTGGAACTGGGAATTGAACTCAGGCCCTTGCACTTGCCAGGCTGCTTTTGTTTTGGAAAGCTTCTCTGGGTTAAGTGCTATATAAACAACAAAGTTCTCTGTCTCTTTGTTAAGTGAAATATAAAGTATATTGCATATATAAAATATATGCTATTCCCTGTTTATAAAATGACCAGATTACAACACAATAAGGTGAAGTTAAACTATAAAAGAAAGTTCCTGAAATGATTCTGACGTGTGTAGTCAGGGCTGGGAACCACTGCTTTTGTGCATATTGTATATTGACCACTGTTTTGAAAGACAAATCAAATCAAAACAGCAAAACAAAACAAACAATGATTTAGTGACCATACACAAAATTTTCTATCTTATAGGACTGACCCAGAATGAGGAGCAACTCCCTTTAGTATTTCTTTCCACTGACCCTTTTCTTCCAGGTCTGCCTAGTAGAGGAGTGTGACTTGATGCCCACTAATTATGACACTGAGTCTCTGGATAGTTCAACCACAGCCCTAGCAGAAGACACAATTTTGAAGACAAGAAATTGGTTATATTTTGAGGGTGGGAAAACAGCATCATTTTCATGCACTGTTGAATTATGACCCTGCAAATATTGTGTCTCATGTTTACTTATGCCTCTGTGCCCCATGAGACAAATGGACAGGACAAAAGAAAGAAACAGCAAGGTTGGTCAAGGAGTTAGATGCCCTTTGGGGTTGACTTTAACAACCAGATCTCTGCATTTCAAATGAAACTGCAAGGCTTTTGTGCCATGAATTTTCATGTCATTATGTTTTCATGCCACGAGAGCATTTCCTGATATAAAACAATATTGCTTTGAAAGTAGAATGTTGTCCCTTGGAATGAAGGAGAATAAGTATTTAGAACCCCTGCAGGTTGTACTGTCAGTACTAATTTGAGTGCTAAAGTTCTATTTGCCAACCTAAGTAAACAGGAATGTAGACAGCTTGAACAAGATGAAATTGTGATATTGCCCAAAGGAACAAGCTGATCAGGGAGAGCTCAGCATACATGTGAATCAAGGATATCTGCAAAAATTTCAACTTTGCCTCCTATAGTCTAACTGGAATGTGACAAGAAAGGCTTAACCTGTGACACTAGGGATGAAGAGTGGAGATCCATCACCGGGCATTCAGAAAGCCTCTCTGGATTCGGGCAGCATATAAGAGTGTGTGCTAAGTAATGACTCCAACCAGTTTCTCTGCACCTATCAATCACAGTGGACTCCTGCAAATCCACATTCCTGGTCTCATCAGCGCTGATAAATACTTATTGCATATTCAGTGAGCACATGGTAGCAAAATTAATTTTGTACTAAATTTGAGGATAGTTTTCCAATTTTGACAATACACATTGGAATATATGTCAGAATTCTTCTCTAAAGTAGGTAAATAGCTGTTTATATAATAAAAAATTTGAAAATCCTGCAGTAGCCTGGGTCTTCTGTGATTGGAGGAAAACCTCATGAAGCCATAGAAAGACAACTTCCTGTATGAAGATTTTCATCCTGTGAGAATCAAGCACCAATGTTCAAGCTACCTGGAACTCTCTGCTTGAATAGACAGCTTTATAATGTGGTAAAGTGAGATTATTCAGACTCATAATGTTTCAGTCTTAGAGAAACACAGGGTTACTTAGCCTGGGCAGGGAGAAGAGATGTCCTATTCCTACAGAGCAAGGTTTGGCTTCTGGAGATGGGGATCATTTCAACAATTGCTGGTCCACAAGAGTTTGTCAAGTTGAAAAGTAATACTCACACTTAGAATCCTAACTAACTGTGGATGATGGAAGCCAACCTGCCCTCCTCTCCATGAGCAAACACACATGCATACACACACACACACACCCCACACACACTGCCAAGAATTAACTGAAATTCCTCTCTTAAAAGGTCTTAAGTATCTTTTCTCTGGGTTATAAAGTGTAACCTACATTCCAGAGTTGTGTGGAATAAAAATATTTTTCCCACTAACAAAAATGATCCCTCACTGTTAAACTACACTTGTTTTAAAGCAAGATAATTTGCTTTGTCAAATATTTCTTAGCATGTCTTGTTCACCAATGGAAAACTGAAAACATGACCAAAGAAGTAACCATCTTTACAAGAGTTCAGAAAAGATAGGAAGACATGAGGGAAAATGATATGCTTTTAATTTTTAATTTGGTTTTCAAATGTCTTGATCTGTTGAAGATGCATGTTTATGTATTCACATGCACTTGTATAACACAAAAGTGCTCTTTATATTTATGATACAAAAATAGTCAAATTGGAGGAACTGGTTGCTCGGCAGCAACTAATCCAAAGTTAATGCAAAAGGCACCCTTCAGGGAAAATTTAAAGAAAGGCGCCTCTTTCTCCCACGCTGACTACAACTCAGCTACAGGGCTATTTCGCCAACTGCCAAGTACTGCTACAGAGCATAACTTGATGCCTCTTAACAGCTTACCATGTTGGAAAGAAAAACGGGCCAAGGTCCTCAGATCTTTAAATTGTCTTGTGAGTAAATGGCAACCAAAACCCACCACTTGGTGAATTTGTCTACTCTAAGAAATGACATATTTAAATTAGGTATTGAAACAGAGCTTTGAATCCTGGGGCTCCACGAGCCCTTGGAAAAATGATGTGTTTTGCATGCATACATTTGCATTTTTCTAGAGGCAAGGGTCTGCAAGTATGTCATGACCCCAAGAAGCTTAGCCTTAAGCTAAAGCATAGTGGAATTAATAATTTAGAAATGTACATAAAAAATAACTTTAGAAGCAGCTCTACTGTATACAGATGAATTTCTGATATATTAGAACCTGAATTTACCAAACTTGCTTGAAAATAATTTCTTACCACATCAGATAATTTAAGGGAAATCTTTTGCACAATTATTTACAGTCTTATTCAACTAAAAAGATGAAAAAGAATTGATCTTTTTTATATTTATATATGAGTATATTCCATAAAATTACCTATTATTGGGAAATTAGCTGATTATTCATGCAATACATACACTGATGTCTATATAATTGTTTTAGGAAGTTTTAACTTCAACAGATGTAATTGCATCATTATTACAATATAACAATCTTTAAATTTCATAGTCATGATTTTTTTTTTCTTTTCTTTTTTTTTTTTTTTTTTGGCGGAACTGGGGATTTAACTAAGATCCTTGTGTTTGCCAGTCAAGCGCTTATCCTACTGAGCCATCTCCCCAGCCCCCATAGTCATGATTTTCTAGAAGGATAACCTAGAAGTTAGTCTGTCTTTAAAACACCATCTTTACTTTTTATTTGCTTAACAAATTTTTCTCCACAGTGATAGCAATCAGTGTCTTATACATCCCAATGTAAAACAGACAATACACTTTTATTTAGTATGATAAAACTGATTTATACAATGTTTGCTTATTTTTGTTGACTAATGAAAAGATGAGTGTTTTACATTAGCCTCACAGTGAAACATGATTTGCTTCATATACATTCACCACTGTATTTGGATGCATGTATTTTTTGCAATTAACTTTGCAGATTTTCCAGAATTGGTTCTCTCAAGATGCTAAAAAGAAATAATGGGAATAAGAGAAAGCATCCAACTGCATTGTTACCCTTAGAATTTTATGGATGAAGATCTCTGCTTTCTCTAAATTCTGAAGGAGAATGCTAACCTTCTAAGAAAACTCACTTCTTTTTCCTTTCCCTCCATTTTTTTTATATTTCTGTTACAGTCCTGTAATTGCTATGTCTACCTAAAGGCAAGTCATTTAAGCAATATGACCATTTATGCTTTTAAAAAGTGGGAAATGGCTTTACAGGCTCTCA